CGCATAGGGCTTTATTGTTTGCAGCCATTCTAAAATCCCCTGGATCGAGCTGTCGATTTCAGAAGTCAGCTACGTTTTCGGATTCGAAATGGCACATGAGGACACGGAGGATCGAAAATCGGCGATAAAGTTAAGGCCGTGAATTTTGCACAGCAACGATCGCAAAAAAAAATTTAATCCATTAGTTGTTATTCTGAGACTGACAGAGTTAAAGCAGCACAGTGACCCAGATTTACTGTATATGGATAGAAATATACAGATAGAAATATACGGATAGAAATGTCACTTCAAGTTCACTTTTACGACGAAAGTCGTACTGCATTTCTGAATCAGGTCTGCTTCAAAGATGTGTTTCCAGGTTTTGTATTGTACTCCAACATTTCTACCAGTAGGCCAGTAGGCGGTCCGGCGCGAGAAAGGTTATAAAAATGTTATCATTTTGGGCCGTTTTATTAAACCACCACGAAACGCATCGAATCTGGCTCTATTGCCGAACGAGTAATACTGTTGTACAGTCCCTCTTTGATGAGAGATATAAAAAACTGGTGCTTTTGGCAGTACAACAGCTAGGCGACATCGAATTCTGCCGATGTGAAGGAACTCGTCGTGAAAGCATGACATATCATCATTTCACCTGTAATGGAAGAAAAGTACTGACCAAAATCGAACTCTGACATTTTTGTGGCACAGGTTGCATGGTAGGTCAAAGTACGGACCCGCTTATATTCTTGACTTTCTCTGATTATTTTCGTAGCCCGTTTTGAGCCTTGAAACTAGTAAATGACGACGGGTCGTACAGAACTGTTTTTGCTCTTAAAGCAGTTCTGCCTTGCTAAACGGCATTGACTATTAGCCGAGACCGGAGGATTGGTATAATACTGTCTTTGTCAATTTTCAAAGAAAACATGATGGTATTTGTCGTTCGATTAATCATTCATGGCCGAGCCGAACGGATGAGCAGAACACTGTTTTGTGGACCATGCAGCAAGTGGAGGAAAGATAATACCTTCGCTCTAGCCGGTGGTCATGACTTGTGAAATCTGGAGTAACGTTGATCTAAAAGCAATGAATTTAAAGTTTACCTTCATGTCATCAGTACGAATGAAGTATGATACTATTCACTTTCATTGAAATAATACAATTCTGTATTAACCAGTAATCTTACAGGTAGAAATGAAAATCGAAAGAGAGTTTAAGGAATTCTCAAGAATTATACCAAACGCGACCATGCCGTGGATTCGCTGGATGTCTAATTCTCGATATTTTAACTGTACGACTCTGTAGTTTCTCCAAAGTCGTGCTATTTCATGGTGTCGTTGCTTCATTGCAACGCGACTACTGACGCGTACTAGTAGTCATTTTTTCGTTGCTGTACTCTGTGAGCAAGTGATTTCACTGCATGCTTTGAATTGCTTGACACCAGCATTAAGGTTAATTAGAATATGAGTTTGGCGATGCATTGGTGATTATCAGTGAGTACTTTGTTGGTATTCAGGAGTTGCTGTTCTACCTAGCATGTTTCGCCATGGTACTGAATGACATAGAAAAGGCAGTCTGATGAATACTGGCCGAAGGAGTACACTTTGGATGCAAACAGAAATGAGACTTCTTCGAAAAACTGTTGCTGTGTCAAGATTTCATTAGATTTCGACTCAGAACAGACCAGTCCGAGGTATCCTCACTTGTGATGCGCTGTTTTTTCATTTCTCAGGTTGAGTAAGTGATCACGGTTGTGGAGGTTTTGACATGTGACCAAGATGAAACAGAAAGGACTTTCAAGATGGACACTCTTGGTAATAGTACATTTAAAAGAACTCTCTTCTGCAGACCAGATGGTTAAATAATGTAGAGAACCTAGCCTTGTTGCTCCTTGAAAATCAGCGTACTCAGTTTATCTGATATGAGAAAGACCCAAGCGATTGGAGAAGCTTTGGAAGCAGCTATCCGAAAGGAGAAAGCAACAAGGGTCTCTGAAAATGAATGAATGAATAAATAGTCAGACAGAAATTGAAGCAATGACATTTCACTATGACCGATTATTAATGATGTCCAACCAGTCGCGACAGGGATTCTTCGAGGCATCATACATATCCTACCGGTTCGTCGTCCAGGCGTTTTAATAATTCTGCCATAACTTTTGGAAATTTTAGTGACGAATCATGCGCCAAACTGGTCTGGCCGTAAACTGAATCGAATGCTGTTCCAAATTAAAGAAATTCGCCTTTCAGAGTTGTTGAAAACTTGAAAATTGGTTCATATTTTTCTGAGAAATAGACTTATGTTTGAACGTTCTATCGGGTACCGTTCTTGGTTTCTCCTCACTGAATGTTTGACTGCTGCCTTCAGTTTGACGTGCATTTCCGCGCTGGAAATTTCAACAACGATAAAAGTATGATTCCGCGAGAGTTGCTGTATTCAGCGTAATTTTCGTTCCTAAACACTGGGGCAGTTACGCTTCACATGGCTTCCTGTATTTTTTGGAGATCAGTCGTCTTTCATCAAGCGCTTCCTGCAACATGATAGATAACAGCAACAATGGTTATACCTTTTGCATATTATCACACTGAAAAGTCGGCCATCCGATGTACTAAGGTGAATTGCAGCTCGATGAGTTGCTTGCATCATGCTACATAGCCGTACCTCTCTCCAATTCTGGTCACACCAAAAGACCATGCTGCCTCACTTGTTCGCAAACCACAGACTTACTACCCGTTTCTAGGCTGGTTCACCGAAGGGGGTAAATTCCTTGCTCATGCGAATTCGCGGCACCTCCGGTTCGAGACTGACCTCGTTAACACTGTG